ATAGATAGATAGATAGATAGATAGATAGATAGATAGATAGATAGATATTCTGTTCACCAGTGAGGGTGAACTTTGTTGTGGTCTGCCAAAAGTGCACATGTGCGCAATAGCACATGCTGGCACCCACAATGCAATGCGCACTGCCCCCTGCGCATGCACATGCAACACCCCATCCTACTCCCTTACCTGCACTGTATTTATGCCTGCCTCCCAGCTAATTTTCTGCTTGTTTGAGGCCATTTTTTCCCTCTTGAAGGCTCAAAGGAAGCTTCTGGAGCCTCGGGAGGCTGAAAATGGCCCCCCTTTTGGCACTTCCAGTATTTCTGAAGCCTGTTTTTCAATCTCCCAAGGCTGCAGAGGCTTCCCTTGAGCCTCTGGGAAGCTGAAAACAGCTTCAAATGGGGTGAAAATCAGCTGGGAGGCCCACACATGTGCAGTGAAGGTAAGTTTGATGGGGCTTGCATGCACACACAAATAGCTCTGTGTGCCACCTGTGGCATCCGTGCCATAGGTTCTCCATCACGGGTGTAGGGGAGAGAGAAAGAGAGAGAGAGAATTATTGCATTACACTGCATATTTATAAATGCTTCTTGCAAATTTAAGTGCAAAATTTCAGTTTCAACTCAATTTAATGAAAGGTCAAAGATTATCTTTTAGATGAAGGGTCTACTTTAATAGTCAATGAAATAAAAAAAAAGTCAAATTGCAGAAATAAATATGTAAAATTCTCAGTTTTTTTCTTAAAAAACAAAAACAAAGGTGGATGTCATATTCACAGATAATTTACTTGTATAGTGAAAGGCTTTACATAAACAAGTGGTGCTGTGAGATATATAATCAGGAATGTACTCTTCCAGAGGGGTTATAGAAAAGGGATAAGACCAAATACAACACTGAAGTAGGAAATAGCAGGTTTCTTCATTACAATATCAAGAAGTTCAAATAAGCATTTATAACCAGGATAATATCAACATGATACTGAAATATGTGTCATTCCCCCCCCACCAAGTTGGAACATATCCAACAAGCCTCTGGGAAAGAGCATGGGAAGAGTTAAAGTATAACTAGTGTTTATGACAAAGCTATATTAAACATGACATGACATTCTGTTTCTGTTTAATATTATGAAACAGAGATTATGTTTTTAAAATGATGTGTATAATTAGAACTAGGGGAATAGAAAATGAGATTTAAAATTGTTGGGAGAAACACTGGCAACTTCAGATATAAATGATGATATCACTTGGTAGGCTGGAAGGCTTAACAAATTCTAAAGGTGAAGGAAGGAAGTTCAAAATCCAATCTGCCTCAGATAGGCAGAGAATAAGTTAAATATAGTGACAGATTTTATCTTCTTGGGCTCAAAAATCCACAAGAGTGATAAATTTGTCATAAATTAAAGAGACATCTGCTACTTGGAAAAAAAGACAATGACACATCTAAACAAAATATTAAACCATAGAGACACCACACTGATAATAAAGGTGTGAATTATCAAGGCTGTGATTTTGCTTGTTGTAGCATATGGCTGTGAAATATGGACCATCAGAAGGACTGAACAAAGGACACCAAGGTCTTTGAATTGTGGTGCTTGAGAGAATTGCTGAGAATACTTTGGATTGCAGCAAGGAGAAATAATAGAAGTAAGATCAAATTGTTCATTGGGAACACTAATAATGAAGTTAAAGGGTCAACATTTCAAACACATATTGTAAAACCCTGATGCTTGGAAATCAAAGGGAGTCATTGGAATCCATCCTGATCCTTGGGAAAAGGAAAGACAATTTGAAATGAGACTACTAGAAAATCAAGTGCCTAAATACTATCACTGATAACCCAAACAGGAGCTTTAAAAAGTTCAGAGATGACAGATAATCCTAAAGATGGATGTCCACTGACATACAAAGAATGGAAAATGACTCTGTGTTAACCTTGTGATGTAGTCCAGACAAGAAGCACAGCTAGTTCTATTTTATTGCAATGTTATAAACAGAATCTTGCAACTCTGAAAGTACCCCTGCTATCTCTCTCTTTTACTTTTCAGAAAACTAGGAAGAGTCCCTTCTGAGACATTTTCACCATCCTTCTTTCTTTGGATTCAAATGTTGTTTATCAGACCATTGTTTAAGCTGCAGCTCTTCCTCCAGTCCAGGCCCAAGGTCATTTCCACATACCATTACACTGAATAACCCTATACCCACAAAGGCAAAAATTGCTGTGGAAAATATTAATAATTAATAAACAAATTACCAATCTTAAGTTCACCCATCACTGACCTTATTTCTCTCTCCTGCTCCTCATATTGGTGGAATGAAAGGAACACCAAATTTTAATTGGAGTTAAACAGGAGTTAAATTAATTGGTCGGTCTTTATCAAATCTCAAAAATACCCTACAGAAGCTTCTCCATAACATACAACAAAGAGAACAATAAATAAAGCAACATTGCCAACACATAGGTGGTAGGAATATCAGTTTCTCATCCAAGTTTCTCATCCAAGAAGCTCAGAAGGATCTTCAGCCAACATAGTACTGTATATGCACACTTCAATAAATATAAATGATAAATGATAAAACATTCAGACACAAACTGAGCAGCATGGTATAAGCAGTACAATGAAGTGAACCACTTGCAGATCTGTACATTGGGGAAACAAAACAACCACTTCATAAATGCATGGCTCAACTTGGGAAAACAAAGGCATGAGGACAAGATTCAGCAGTCCATCTACATTTAAAAGACAAAGGTTACTCTTTTGAAGACAGCAAAGTCCACATTTTGGACAGAGAAGACCGTTGGTTTGAAATAGGGGTCAAAGAGGCCATCTACAGTATGTTAAAATTGAAACAGCCCTCTCTCAGAGGGAGAAGGGGAGAGATACAACATAATCAGAGGTGGCATTAAGCAAGTACTGACCAGTCCTGGAGAACCGGTAGTGGAAACTTTGAGCAGTTCAGAGAACCAGCAAATATCACCTCTGACTGCCCCCGCCCCATCTGTTCTCTGCCTTCTGAGTCCCAGCTGATTGGCTGGGTCTTCTTTTGTTGCTTTGTCCAGGAGAACGGAGCTGGAAAGCAGGTTAGTGGGGTGGGGAGGGGATGGGGATTTTGCAATATCCTTCCCCTGCCATGCCCACTGAGCCACACCCACCAAGACACACCCACAGAACTGATAGTAAAAAAAATGAATACCACCACTGAACATAATATATCTCTAGTCTACAATACAGTCTTTCAACAGTTCCACACCCATTTGCATTACTCTGATTAGCCTGGTGGCACAAATAAACCTCCTCACCAACTGTCTAAAAGAATGCAAATGACCATCTGTCTGCAAAAAAATATAAATCCTTTCATTCCCCACCATCCATTCAGAGCTGAAGAAGCTTCTTGGATGAGAAGCTAAATGTCTTCAAAGAAAAAACAGAAAATTCAGTTGCCTCTTGAAAAAGCACCTTGGGACAACTATGACCTGGATGACTGAGAATCCCCATAGACACTATTAACTGGGATTTTAAAATAACATCTAGATTCATGTCAACGAACAAAACCACGGTGTGGCAATTATGTTTCTGTAAAGTATCATTATACTCTCAACTGAATCTGTTATTTGTACATAGGATGCAGTGATGGACAAATTTCTATGCAAATTACAAGTCATGGAACACAAATTTGAAGGTGCTTTTATTGCTGAATCTCTGCCAAAACAGGATTTGCTTAAAAAAACACAGCCTTTTCCTTCTTTAGTTTTATAGCAGTATTTATCCCTTCTCATCCTGTACGTGTCAGGCTCTTGGACAGCTGAGGCTCAGGCTGTTCTCTTTAGCAAGATTTGGTGAGACAAAACGTTGAAAGGACCAGAATTCCAAACAAGAGAACTATTTTCACTTTACTAATAATAGATCTCTGGGAAAATCAAGGTAGAGACTTTCTAATTCTCTCAGCCTTCACTTGAATGAGTGAGGAAGCAAGTGTTTTTCTGATAATGGGGAAGTTTGAAGTCACATTACAAAATAGTGAATATTTGTCAGACTGGAACATATCTCCTGCAGTAAGAAAGATAAAATAGAACTAGAATCAGAAGACAGTGACTTATAAAAACATTTCCTGAAAAGATCAGCTTAACAGTATTGTCAGAACGCTGCACCTGAAAGATATTCTCGGGCTCATAACTTTTGATGAGTTTTATCAATTCATTTGATGACTTACAAATGTGTTTCCATAAATATTTTAGTATTTTCATTTATCACACAAATCTCAGGATTCTTGTGGATATCTCACCAAATCCCACAAACAATGTCCCATTGAATTTCTGACATGCTGTGTGTGGAAAAAAGTTGTTTACAGCTTTTCCCAAACCAAGTACAAATTTGTGGGCCACAATACAAGTGCAATCATATATAATAGCAAAATGTTAAAACATTTACATATTTTGTTTAGGTAAAGCTAGAGAGTGCAACAGGTCATACAAGTTATTTTTTATTTCTTTCCTCACCCCAAGGGATAAGCTTCTTTTTTCTGTATTTTTTTTGAAGACAAACATATACAGACAAAAACATAAAAACATAAAACCATCTTTCAATTTTATACATGCAGTGTGTCAGTCGGTTACAAATCTTTTGTGCCATCCTTTCATAGTCCTTACAAGTTGTAAAGTTTCTCAAATTGTCAATCTAACATATGCTTATATGTCTAAGTTATTAATCATTCATTTGACTAAATTATTATTCCATCATTTCATATGATATATTCTAGATTTTATTATAAATTTATATTATCCATTCATCCAATGGTTGTATATTTTGTATTATATTCTATATCAATCTATTAATCTTTTATTACAAAACTTCCTAGTCTATTTCATTACCATGTCATTTTATCTAGCTATTGATAAAATAAGTCCCATATCATATAAAATTGTTTATCTTCTTGTTCTCTAATTTCAAATGTCAATTTACTCATTTCAGCACAGTCCATAATTTTCTTAATAACTTCCTCCTGAATAGGTATTTTTTTTCATTTTTCCAATTCTTGGCAAATACAATTCTAGCCTCTGTTAAAATATTTACAATCAAATATTTCAATTCTTTATTGTATATTTCCAGTATAATTCCCAATAAAAATATCTCTGGTTTAAAGTCTGTGTGTTGTTTTATCATTTTTTTTCCAACCAGGTGTGGATTTTAGACCCAAGGGATAAGCTTCTGAAGGTCCTTCAAGGTCTGGTTATGCTGGCCTTGGTAAGACCACACTTCAGAGGTGGTATTCAGCAGGTTCTGACCAGTTCTGGAGAACCAGTAGTGGAAATTTTGAGTAGTTCAGAGAACCGGCAAATACTACCTCTTCCTGGCCCTGCCCCCATCTATTCCAAGTCCAAGATGATCAGCTGAGTCTTCTTTTGTTGCCCTGCACAGGAGAATGGAGGTCGTAAGCATGTTAGTGGGGTGGGGAGGGAATGGGTATTTGACAGTAACCTTCCCCCAGGAGTGGGGAGGGAAAGGAGATTTTACAGTATCCTTCTCCTGCCATGTCCACCAAGCCACACCCACCAAGCCACACCATGCCCATCAGGCCACAGAACTGGTAGTAAAATTTTTGAATCCCACCATTGCCACACTTGGACTATTACATCCAGTTTTGGTTGCCACAATATAAAAATGTTGAGAGTGCAGAGAAGAGCAATAAAGATAATTAGAGGGCTGAAGGCTAAAAGATATGAAAATGGGTTACAGGCATTGAGTATGTCTAGTTTAGAGAAAAGAAGGACTAGAGGGTGACATGATAACAGTGTTCCAATATCTAACTGATTGCCACAAAGCGGGGGGCAGGGTGTCAACCCACTTGAAGGCAGAACAGGGAACAATGGATGGAAACTAAACAAGGAGAGAACCAACCTAGAAACAAGAAGAACTTTCCTGAAAGTTAGAACAATTAACCATTGGAACAACTTGCCTCCAGAAATTGTGAGTGCTCCAACACTGGAGGTTTTTAAGAAGAGATTTGAGAGCCATTTGTCTAGAAAGGCATAGGGTTTCTTGCTTGAGCATGGGATTGTACTAGAAGACCTCCAAGGTTCCTTCCAACACAGTTATTCTGTTAATAATTATTAATCTTATTTATTTATCTTGCTATATAGTAGCTGATTTCTTACAAACATTCTGGGATGATGAAATAGAGATCCCCAAATTTCAAATTGATTTCAATTAATTGGATATCTTGAAAACATTTTATCAGGTGTTTTATACAACTTATCACAAAAGTTTAAAAACAAGTGAATGTCATTTTTCCTACCAAAGAGATAGGAAAAAGAGATTAAACTTGATTGAATAATTAAAAAGAAAGTGAACTGTACACCTATGTTGCTAGTAGGCTTATTTGATCCACATTACTCTTGTTTTTGTTTATATATACTTATATACTCTTCTTTACCTATATTTTAAGGGAAAATAAAGACAAATATAGCTGTGAGTGATTTTTGAGATTTAATCTCTGGTGTCAGAAGAAGCATGTTGTTAGGCTAAGCTTACCTCTTTAATGAGCTTCTTTTTCCCCCATCAATAGATGGGAAGTGAGTCTGCCAGGATTGGACAAAGATGAGGAAGCAAAGATGACCAGTTATACTAGAAAGAAACAGAAGCTGTGAACAACCAGAGTTGCTATGAAACAATGGCCCTTTATAACTTAGTCCTGAAGAGATATTTTTCCCCTTTGTGTATTTGTTTTCACTTTCAGTGAAGGGTTGGCAAAAGTGCTTCTACATGTTATCCTCTCTCTTTCAGCAAAAAAATAAAATAAAAATAAAAATCAGTAGTTCTGTTGAGAATTCTGAAGGTTCCATTAATCAACATTGCTGTCCCGCATCAGATTGCATAAATAAATAACATTAATTTGTTTTAAGTTATGTAGAACTACTAGAAACATTAATAGAGTGTCATTTATTTTTATGAATTAGAGTTAAATCCCTTTATTTCATATTTTAACTAATTTAAAATCATGAGAGAAGTGTACTGCGCTAGAGCAGGTATGTGCATATAAATAGAAATTGTATTTTGTTCATCATTTAGTCAACAAAATATATTCACATTCCATAAAATAATAGAAAAAAATAGTTGGAATCCTGTATAGGAGCTGAGAAATCAACCTCAGTCTGGATTTATGTAAATTTGGGCTTCAGTATTAGTTAATTTTGCTGATCAGAAATATGATCCAACAAAACCTTTGTTTTGACTCATTTTCAAGAAGGTAAAGGCAAAAGACATGTCAACCACAAAATTACCATTATTTGGAACATTATTATAATACTTGTTAAATGCAGTAGTCTTGGATACAGATACCTATTTTTCTACCAATCAATCAAACTTTATATTTGAGAGAAATGTGCAAAAGATTTAAAAGAATATTCAATAGTTTAGTAGCAATGTTAATAACAAAAGTAACTTTATATCTCCCCTCTTTCCTGTTCATGTGTGTCTGAGTGATAAGACAAAATCAATAAACTTATCTTCAAATTCTAGATAAAAAAAAACTTTTGAGTGAAGGCTTTATGTTCCTTTTCAATGAAATAGAATCTGGAAACCTAAATCTCCAAGCAGATCTAATTTGGTTTGTCAAAGACCAATGATGTCATTAGTTAAGGGTGGCTCTAACAGATTATTGATATGATTAAGCCTCCTTCCATCAATTCTTTAATTCTTTTGTGAAATCATCAACAAAGTGGAAACATTCTAATTCATTCTAAAATAATGAAGGGCACTAGAAAACCATACACAAACATAACTGTGAATATCAGCAACCATCATGCTGTTCATTAACCTTCATTTTCATGATAAGAGGTAAATTTAATGTGGGACAACAAGTAAAGTTTGCATGATTTGAACATTTAATAAACATCACAAGGGTTATGATAGCGTGGTAAAAAGATTACTAAATGCACTCAGAGAAAAGGTGGAATGATGAGAGAACTAAATGAGCTGCACCTCTTATATCAACTTTACTTGCCATAACATAGAATTTCAATTTGGAATTCCAATACTAAAGGATATTTGTAACTCAGTGTTCAATTGTTGGGTTTTTGTGATTGTTTTTTTTAAAACCAAGCTAGGTAACATCATCAGTGCAGCTCAGAGAATATCAACAACTTAACAATTTAGAATAGGTCACTACGAAACACAACTGGATCACAGAAGACATAAATATACATAAATAATATGATATTTCTAGAGTGTCTTGAAAACCCAAGTTTTCCTTAGACATTGGAGCCAGAATATTAGTTCAGACCACACATACATTTTATGGTGCATTATGAAAGATTTTTACTTGGATTGTTGATTGCACTGCCCTGTTTTGTTTTACATTGTTTTTAAATTACTTTGTTTTATTTTATGTTTTCTGTATTATTAGCTGCCAAAGTCATTATTACGAGATAGGTGGTCTTAGAAATTCTTTAAATAATTAAATAAGGGGAGAGAAGGGAGGGAGGGAGGTCATTTCTCCCAAGCCTTGACCTTGATTAATTAAGGGGTCCTGTAGCTACACAGCACATAATAACAATTGAAATTGATCAAGATTTGGAGGTTGTAAATATTGTTCACTACCCCAATTATATGTGATCAATGCCAATACAGTGGCAAAACCCAATGCCCACTTTGAAGCTATATGCTGCAGAAATAAATAATAGATAATGTTGGTTTTGTCATATCTGCACAGCTGGTTCTGAAGATGCTGGTAACATATGATCAACATATTTATTGAATAGAAATATACCATATGTTGCACACATATAACTTCTTTCTTTATGATTATCTGCCATCTCAGGCCAATGGGGAACATCTCTACCAAAATACGAAAGTGTGATAAATCTATACTGTAGGAGATTAATGTAAATGGAGACAAATGATGCAGTGACTATATGGGAGAAAGCAGAGACTGCAAAGAATAAAATTAGTTTTAATCTAAGAACTTGTTTTCATTTTGGTACAAGCAATATACAGCCTCATTTATTATATTAAATTATCAATTTTGTAAAGTTTTACTCTTGCTTTACATGATAAATGGTTTAACAGCTTGCAATTTTATTTTATTTTTTTTAAATCTACTAACATAGGATTTACTCTTAATTCTTGCTTACTCTACTGTCCCCATTTTTTTTTTAAAAAAGTCTTACATCCCCAGAAGCTCTGCTTTCAGGTGACAACCAAAGAATTGAACAAATGCTTGAAATATCTGAGGTTCAATGTACCTAGATGAGCAAAAAAAAATTGCTTTTGTTCTTGCTTTTAGTTTTTTAACTTTCCTTTCTATGCCATCAATATGGAACATGGTTGTTAAGGAAATATGAATAAAGACTTTTGTTTTTGAAAATGGCAAAAAAATGTTAAAGCAGGACACTTTGGCTGCTCTCCTCAAAGAAATCACCAGCCATTGGGGCAAATTCTGAATTGGCACCCTGAGAGTAGTGGCATGTATAGGTTTTGTCAGTTTTGTGTAGGTTTCTGTTCTTCAAAGAATTAAAACAAATCTGTGGGATATGGACTATGTTTAGCCCTGTCCATTATTCCCATGAAGTATAAAACTAATTTGGAGGCCCAACTAAAATTTATTTATTTTATTTTTATTTATTTCTTTATTACATTTATATGCTACCCATCTCACTACCCAAAGCTACTCAAAATAATCATGGCTCCCTAATTTTAGAAAGAAAAAAAAAACTTTAGCCATAATCTAAGCAAAAATGATATGTCAGAAATTTATTATGTCACTAGGATTTTTGATCATAAATTCTAATTACATTTTTGAATCCCAGATGTTATCTGTCTGTGGAGATTCTCAATCATCCAGGTCATGGTTGTCCCAAAGGTGCTTTTTCAAGAGGCAACTGGACTTTCTTGATTTTCTTTGAAGACATTTAGTTTCTCATCCAAGAAGCTTCTTTGGCTCTGAATGGATGGTGGGAAATAAAAGGATTTTTATTCCTTGCAGACTGCTGGTCATTTGCATTCTTTTAGTGAGTTGTTAAGGTCAGCTGGAGGATTATCTGTGTCCTCAGGGTCACCTGGGTGGTGAAAATGGGTATATTTATAAAATAATTTATATGAGTATAAATCCTTCCATTCCCCACAATCCAGTCAGAGATGAAGAAACTTCTTGGATGAGAAGCAAAATGTCTTCAAAGAAAAAAAAAAAGGAAAGTCCAGCTGCCTCTTGAAAAAGCACCTTTGGTACAGGCAGATATTACCTTACTCCAGTCAGACAAAAGAGAGATCTTTTTTTTCTTTTCATTTAACTTTTAAATCGCGTCGAATCTGATTAGTATCGATTAGAAGGACATCTCCAAATTGCAATGTCCATTCCAAAAAATAAAACAAAATATTGACTTGACATTTGCTTTCCCAGCTACATTACTCTCAAAGGATTAAACTTTGGGGACCCAATTAATACATTTGACAACCAAAAGAATGTTTTGTGAAACCAAATTTAAATTGTGTGGCCTTAAAATAATAATATTGAAAAGTGTAAGAATGACAACTGCCATAAATTATAAAGTCTCTTCAGTTGGATCTGGAAGTCTTTACATAGAGATGAAGCAAAACAGAGAATTGGGGAAAGCATGAAAGTAGGTGGCTTTTTTTGCAAATCCACCTTAGGATATATAGTAATGGAAGGTTTACTTCCAAGAATATCCGCTGCAACTCAGTTTCCATATATATGGCATTGTGCACTGCAACATTGCATGATATTACTTGGTTAGTAAGCATAATAGGAATTCTCAGCAACCACGGCCAGATTTTTCTACATCTCGTTTCAGGATACCCAGTTCTCCAGGTGATAGCTGGATAACTTCTCTACTTCTTCCAAAAAGAGTAAGAGTAACGGATGCCTCTGAACTTTTCAGCTTAGTGGAATGTTCCAAATTCCAATTCTCTTACCCAAGTTGAAGACTTTAAAGAAGGAATTAGTTGGCTAACATTACTAAAGCATCTGCCCACCCCAGCTGCTGGTAGTGCTAGTAAGAAAGATTGAATCATTAATTAATGAAAGAATGAATCATTAGTTTCTAAGAAAGAAAATTGTTATACCTAGATGGATTAGATACTTCAAGAAATGGCCAAGTAACAATTGATTTAGAGAACCAGGAGAAAAATGACTAGAATAAGAGCCCTGGAATATAAACTTATACATAGGCTTGGACTTCTATGTAGTATATGGTTCCATGAGTATATAGTTTTATTCTTAGTTGCAAGCGGGGGTGAGGTAATCTAGTTGAGTCATAAGGATGAGCTTTCCATGAAGCAAGTTGATTTCTGAACCACAAATAAAGTGTCACTTTATTCACAAATAAAGTGAAATTTATAAGGCAAGATGGCAGCCGGGAGTTCTGGATGAACATCGGCTATGATTATTGCTGCCTGGTGAAAGTAGAGCTTGTCCTTCCCTTCTTGCTTTCACTCAGTTCTGCTTCTTCTTCCAAT